GCCCGGCGGAAGGAGCCTTTAAACGTTTCCAGGACCGCCAGCGAGGGGCTAGAGAATCCCCTTTAGCCTACAGGGGTGCGCTGCTCGTGTTGGCGAGGAGGGCTTTCCCTCGCCTGGCTGAAGAAGCGCTCGAGGAGCTCGTGGTCGAGCACCTCATCGCCTACGCTTGCCGTGCTGGCGTTGTAATGCCCGTGGTGACGCCGGAGGAACGCACCATCCAAGCCCACGAGCAGGTCATGGGCCGGGCACCACCCGTGGGCCGGGTGGCTGGCGCGGCAGGGGGGAACAGCCGAGCCGTTGCCACGGCGCTACTGGGTCCAGCGACACCAACCGCCGAACCTGCACCGTCGCCACAGGCTGCCTGTGGGGCAGCTGGGAACGGACCCCCGACGTCTGAGCCGGAGACATCGCTGCGGGAGGTGTACGCGGCGATCCGGGGACTGGCGGAGCAGAGGGACCAGGGGCGCGACCAGCCGCCGCGTCGCTGGCAGCCGCCTCTACAACATCGCGCCGAGCCCCCCCGATGGAACGCCCCGTGGGTCTGCCACCGTTGTGGTCAAGAGGGGCATGTGGCGAGGGGGTGCTGCACGGAGCCGGAGGCCGCCAACGTCACCTGGAACCCGCCGGGGCCGAACGCCGACAGGATCCAGGCGAGTGACGCCGTCCCGCCCGGCCTCTCGGTCGGGCCGAGCAATTACAATTCCGACACCGCGAACTCACCGGGAGTCTCCTCGGGGTGGGTGCCGTCAGTGTCGTTCCCCGGTCCCCACTGTCCTGGTCGGGGGAAGGGGATTGCGCCGGGGATTGCGCCGGGGCCGGTGATCGCGTCGCGAACAGAAGTGGCGTCGCGACCAGAAGTGGTGTCGCGAACGGACGTGACGTTGCATCCGGAAGTGACGTCGCGGCCGAAAGTGGTGTCGCGGATCGCGCCGGGAATTGCGCCGGGGCCGGGGACCGCGTCGGGGATCGCGCCGAGGCCGGGGACCGCGTCGGGAATCGAGCCGAGGCCAGGAGGGACGTCGCGGGCGGAAGTGACGTCACGGGTGGAAGTGAGGTCGCGGGCGGAAGTGACGTCGCGGGCGGGAGTGACGTCGCGGCTGGATGTGACGTCGCGGCCGGGCGTGCCGTCGCGGGCGGGCGTGGTTTTGCAGGCGGGCGTGATGTCACAACCGGAAGTGGCGTCACTAGTTACCTGCGACGCCGGCGAGTTGCCAGGGGCAACGGCCCGTGGGCTGAGGCGGCACACAAAATTGACATTGCGCCCTGGAGCAGTTCCACGGCCCGCCTCACCACCACTTTGCGGCGGAGCAAGACGGAACCAGGGGGACCATGCCCCTGTGACAAAGGAAGGGGAGGGGAGAAGGGAGGGGAGAAGGGAGAGGCCCACCCGGGAGGGGCCCACCCCCCAGTCCCCACCGCCCCCTACAATGGGGGGGCCCCCCCACACCACAAGGGGGACCCATCCTACGTCACTAAGGGGGGGCAATTTGCACCACATAGAGAGCCCAGCCCGCAACCCAGGGGGAAGCCCACACTATGTAACAAGGGCGCGTTCACCCTGCTGCGACGCACTCCAAGGGGAGGAACCCCATCTTCGGTCCATTCACATCCATCCCCCATCATCTCACCATGCACCACAGGATAACGAGATGCCGCCTGGTCAGTGGCCGGACTCAGCCACACAATGGAGGAAGCTGGCAAGGCGGGTGGTAGCGGCCACGTCAAGAACCTCGGTCCTGGTCGGTGATATCGCGGGAGTGTCGGCACGTATCTTGGTGGATACGGGGGCATCAGCCACGATCATCTCGAGCACCATGCACGAGATGCTGCCGGATAAAATCCGACCTTTAGTCCCCGTCAAGACAACGTTCATTGCAGCAAATGGAGGCAGCATGGGCTTCCTGGGCCAGGTTGAAGCCCTGATACAGATTGGGCAGCTTTCGGTAGCAGGACCCATCCTTGTCTCCGCAACGTTGCCCGTACCCTGCCTGTTGAGGATGGACTTTCTGAGGCGGATGCCAATGAAAATCGATCTGGCCAATGGGCGGGCGGAAGTCCAGGGAACGTATCTCCATTTCCTAAAGGCGGAGGGGGCCAGCCGGGGTGTACCCTACGTGCAGGCTCTGGTCAGTAAGTCTGTCTCCATACCCCCGGCAGCCCAGATGCTAATTCCGCTGCGATATCGGTCCCCCCTCGTGACAGCCCGACCAGACTCACCCATCATGGTATCTCCGGCGTCAGCTGCCATGGATCGCAATGTGCTGGTGGGAGCCGAAACTATTGTACAGAGGAACCAGCATCTGTTCATTCAGGTGCTGCACACCTCCGATAGAACAGCGACGGTGCAGAAGGGAACAGTTCTGGCCCACGTTAGTCCCTTGTCACTAGGAGCCCCAGGGACAGAGCCCGAGCTTGTAGGCAGCATCAGCCAGTCCGAGGACAGAGGGGCCGAATCGTGGATAGACCAGCTGGCGGGGCCTGAGCCAGGATTGCCGCCCGACCAGAAACACCAGCTGAACTCGTTTTTGCATGAGTTCTCGGACGTGTTCAGCCGGGGACCGTTCGACCTAGGGCGCACAAATCTGTCGCAGCACCACATCAACACGTAAGATGCCGCACCCCTGCGCCAAAACACATATAGAATGAGCCCAATGGAAAAAGGGCACATTCAACAAGCGGTGCAGGAGATGCTGCGGACCGACATAATTTCTCCATCCTTGAGTCCCTGGGGGGCACCGGTGGTCCTAGTCAAGAAGTCAGACGGGTCACTGAGATTCTGTGTGGACTTCCGACGCCTCAATGCCATCACGCTGGCCGACGCATATCCCCTACCACGTATCGACGACTCATTGGATGCACTGGCGGGAGCAAAATTTTTCAGTATGCTGGATTTATTGTCCGGGTTCTGGCAGGTCCCACTAGACGCGGACTCCCAGGCGTACAGGGTGGCCCCGCACGAGGCGACGGGGTTCTCGCCGTTTTTCCTGATGTACGGACGGGATCCCATTCCGCCTATTGAGGTGCAGCTGACGGACATTCCCGCAAGAGCTGACGCATGGCAGAAGGTACTAAAGACCTCCCTCATTTATTTGAGAGAGGCCCGCCAAGCAGCCGAGGCCACATCGGCCACGAGCCAAGAAAGTAATGTACGGATACGGGAGAGGACAGTGACAGCCAAGCCCTTTAAAGTCGGGGACCAGGCATGGCTACACTGTCCTCAGGTGCCGGTTGGCCTCTCACCAAAGCTGCACCGACCCTGGAAAGGGCCGGTCGAGGTCATTAAAGCACTCCGACCGCAGTGCGTCCAGGTCCAACTGGGTAAGCGACGATGGTTTGTACACCCCACCCGCCTTAAGCCATACATCTCTCCACCGTCATCTTCACCAACATCACCAACATCACTGCCAACATCATCATCATCCCTACCCAGGCCAAGGTCGCCGACCACCATGTGCCGACCGGCAGGGGGTTTGGTGCCCTGTGTTCCCTTGTCACCTACAGCACCCCATGTGAGGCCTGACGGAGCAGCGGCACGAGCGGGGGCCGGAGAGACAGCGGCGCCAGGCAAGGCGACACCGGCACCACCGAACCAGGGACCGCGACGAGAGGGCCTTCGAAGGAGGGGGCCGCCATGGTCATCTGCTGCCTGTGGATGTCCGGGCTGTTACGGGACGCTGGCTGGAGACCTGGGAAGGCCGCACAATTGATTTTGTTGTGTTATATTGCATTGTATAGTTGTGGGGGGGTTAAGGGCTGTCGTCACTGTCAGTGGTGGGAGGCATGGGGAGACTTAAATGGTACATGGGGGAGGCAGAACCGAGGACGGTTATTTTTTCTCTGGGGGGGGGGGGGGGATGTAGGGGTGTCAGGGGAAGGATTCCCACCAATAGGAGGGTTAGTGGGAGGGGTGATCGAGGAGATATAAGGGGAGAACGGGCGGGAAGAGGGGGCCTTTGGCGGGAACGAGATTGGGACGGCTGGGAACAGGTGTGGATGGGAGACAAGGATTAAAAGACGAAACCTCTGCAATCTTGTGTCGGCTCTCCTTTACACAAGTGTAGGACTTGAAATATCACGCGCCACGCGTTCTGTTGCTATGCAAGTGAGCAGCGTACAGTGGGGGCAACTGAGGATACAGTTGTTGTTGTCTGTGGCATTAAGGGGGAGGTCGTTAAGAGATGCCACAGGTGTTAGGGGCAACTGAGGATACAGTTGTTGTTGTCGTGCCATTAAGGGGGAGATCGTTAAGAGACGCCACAGGTGTTAGGGGTAACTGAAGACGCAGGCCGGTGATTGGTCAGGAGGGTGAGTGGCTGATGACTGACGCCGGGCTGGCGGCGATACCATGGTCACGTGAGGCTGGGGGCCTGGGGGCGAGTAGCGAAGCAGGGGATGAGATAATTAATTGGGACTGATTGGTGCGGGGATAAAAGGCACAGCGTAACGGAGAGACGGGAGTCTTGGTCTGGGGGAAGTGTTGGAGTCGCAGCTGGAGACGGTGCCTGGGACAGAAGCAGTGGAACAGAGTATAGTATATGGTAGCAGTGGAACAGAGTATAGTATATGGTAGCAGTGGATGATAGAGTATAATATATGGTAGCAGTGGATAGAGAGTACAGACAGAGTAGCGAGGACAGAGCGAGTACAGCGTAGCGAGCAGCAGAGTATCGGATCCGAGTGGAGAGAGATCGAGCGCAGCGGCGAAGGGGGGCGAGCGGATGGAGGAACGTTGAACGATGCTGTCAAGACGTGAACGATATGCGGAATAAAGAAAGGACGAGAAAGACGAAGAAGTTGTCGAGTCAGTACTAGTCCTACACAAGCACTATCCAAGGTAAACCCTAAATTCTGGGTGCTTTCTTGACCATCCTGTTGCATTATAGACCATTTTGGAATAAGCAATGTCTTATACCAGAAATAATATATGTATATGAGGTGTGCATCTATGAGATGCTGTTCTTTTAACAATTGATATAGGTGTATGAGAAAATTATGGATACCTGTTCGAAGGGAAAATGGTTACAATGAAGCCAGGGTCTGAACTGGCTGTAGCTTCGAATGTGTCTGCATCACCAGAGTTGGTGACGGAGATGTTGAGATAGGCCGGAGTGCCATTGCTAAGTTTGGGGTAGAGCTCTTGTGAAACAATCTGTGGAAGGCAATTCCATAAATAATCAACGATTTTGTATGGTCCCATAAGACCAGGGGTCGCAATTTTTTTATTACTTATTTTATATACATATATATTTCAATATAAAAGTAGCATAGTAATGGGTAACTTAAAATAATCAAAAACATCACTGTGGAGAATATAAATAATAAATAAGCAGATAATGTATCATGTATATCTTACACAACCCATCAACCACACGGCTATCTGGGAGTGCATAATTTCAGGAGAATTCCTTTAAGTCAAGCAAACTCTTGATTGGTTTCGACATGCAGCTTCTCATCAATAGTCAGGCTTGCTGGATCATTGCTACAACTCTGTGGGCTCTCATGAAATTGTCTTTTCTGAGACAAAGGTGCTCTGCAAACCTCCTGGCTACCATCAAAGGTTTGTACACGAAGCCATACAAATATACAAACATACATAATTTCAACCGTGATGATGGTTACAAACTGAGTAAACATTGGAAAGATGTGATTAACCATGCAAAAAAAGATTTAACTACACTTATTTGGACCATCTTATTTGACAGACAACTACTGTACAGGTTACTGATAGACAGCCAGTTTTGTTTTACCAGGTTTAGCTTCTTTTTTCACACACTGGTTTCCTGCTATAAGTTTTACCCACCAAACAACATAGCAGGAGGCTGTTTCTTCCTGACCTGCTTTTGTGCTTTTACCATCTACATGGCAGAGGCTCAGTCTCATTTGCAGCATTTTGTTACGTAGGCTAGCCGTAGTCTCAAGCCGCATCTCACCATAATAAAGGCTCAGTCATTTGTTATGTATTCTAGCCGTAGTCTCAAGCCGCACCTTACCATAATAATAAAAAGTGGGCCGTTCCTGGCCCATCCCCCCTCTCAACCATTATATATACAGAGTGGTATCTCTTGTAATCTCTCATTTACTTGATACAGCTATCGTGCTGTGACGGTTCCACCTGAAGATGGAAGCTTGTGTTGCCTCCGAAACGTCGTGATTTTTATTTTAATTTTATTTTCATTTTACTTTTATTATTTTTTTTTATTTTAAATTTTTACCTACGTGACTTTACCGCAAAAACCTAAGAATATGAAGGCTTGCTGGAATCAATGCTGGTGAACTTCCGATCGTATAGGCTATCTTCATGATATGGGTCCAAGTTCGACGAAATATAATATAATACATAACTCAGCGTCGTTGTGGAGAATATACATAAAATACATAAGCAGACAATGTCTCTATATATTTGTCTCTCCACAACCAAAATAACACTTTCTTACACAACTCATGAGATGATTCAAGCAAGCCTGACTACTGTTAAGACTCTGTATGTCGAAACTGGTGCATAGTTTGATTGTACAGTATGTGAATAAATGCTGCTGTAATTATACACTCGAAGAAGACCATGTGGCTGATTGGTTTGTGCAAGATATACTTTACATTTTATGTGGGGAGAGATATTGAAATACGATATTGTCTGCCTGTATATTTTGTTGTAGTAATCGGCAGTGCATTGAAATGAAAGAGAAAACATAAATAAATGAGTCAAGAAATCAAGAGAGAAGCCAACGATGGAAAAATACCTGCAGTGTTATCGTGGTGACTTGAGAAACTGTTGGAAATACTCGACCAAAGGTGTCATTTCTCGAGTCCTTCCCGCTGACATACACAGAGAACTGCTCCTCTGGGAGGGAGTCAATTTTTCCAATATAGTCTCCTGGGCTTGTGTCGTTCAGCAGGATCGTTTGGAGAGGTCGACCATCAGGTGATAGCAGTGTCAGTGTCTCAGCAACAGCACTGCTGGCGTCTTCACCTGTAATGGTGACTTCCACCAGGAGTGGTACGCCTGCAAACCCATCATGATCCTCATCAAACATCACCACTCACCATTACCCACTAACCAGAAACTGGCCATCACTTTCTGTGCCGAAGAGGTCCACCACGAGAAGTACCTGAAATATCTCGGTGTAACTCTCGACAGGAATGTCACCTTCTGCGAACACCTGCAGAATATTGCTGTAAAAAAATCACGAGTTAACCTCGTGCATAAACTGGCCGGAACGACATGGGGCGCAAACGCAACAATGCTCCGGACGGCCACCACAGCATTAGTCTTCTCTGCGGCAGAATTTTTGCACCCCAGCCTGGAACAAAAGCATGCACCCATAGCTGGTGGATACACAGCAAAATGCAACCATGAGGATCATCTCAGGGACGCTAAAGAGCACACCACTGCTGTTGGTTGTGGTCCTCGCAAACATCGCTCCTCCGCAGCTCTGTCGCGATGCCGTGTGCGTGAGTGAGTACCGTGAGGCCATTGGAAATCCAAACCTCCCAATAAACAAGGGTATTTTTTGTGCCACCACCGCACAGGCTCAAATCCAGAAAACCTTTCTGTCAATATGCAAAGAACCTCAATGACGATGACAAGACCACCAAAGCACGATGAAGGGAAGACTGGGCGAACACCAACCTGCTGCAAAAATCCACTGTCAGCATCCTCCAACCTGGATCTGACCTAACAAAGACGATCTGGTCCTATTTGAATCGGATCGGGACACTCCATGGAAGATGTGCACACTTTCTCCATGAATGAAAAATTAAAAAAATCATTTTGTGACTGTGGTGCAACATCTCAGACCGTTCAACATATCGTGAACGACTGCCCAATCAGATAATATAACGGCAACCTGAAACAAATATACGCAGCTACTCCTGAAGCAGCCGAATGGATATCAAATATAAACATCAATTTGTAATCTGTTGCAATCCCCAAAAAATGCCATAAGAAAGAAGAAGACCCACCATCACCCATCACTCACAAACTTATGTTTATCACTCAAATCTACTAAACCACAATTACTACACCATTCCCATTATCACTCACCATCACCAACCCTCACCTTCACCCATGACATAGCAACTAACACTCATTATTCAACTCGACATCACCATCATCACTCACCATCACAACCAACACTCACCATTACTCACCAAAATCCATCACGTACCAACCACCACTCATTATTCAACTCGAGACTATTCATCACTCACGATCACGAACCAATACTCACAATTACTCACCATTGCTCATCAACTGCTGCACATCATGATGGTCAAGCATCGCGCGTTTTCAGATGCACATCTGCTGCTGTCTGGAATGCTCCTCCTTCCGAAACAAGGAAGCCACTGGAGCTATCCACTTTTAAATCCAAATTGAAAACTATTTGTTTTAGAACTGCTCTTTGTTTAGTTTGTTGTCCATTCCCCACACCTTCGATTAGCACGCTTGGCTTTGTATGGTGCAAACGAAGTTGACATACATACACCATTCAACTACAAACCACCATCCTCAATCATAATCACTAACCATTACCAACCAACATTCACCACTCATCACTCGGGACCAGCACACCAACCACTACCACAACACCATCGTTTTATTTACCATATGCTTAATTTTTTTTTACACTTAATGTTTTGGATATTTGTTTACAAGGGGTTAGTTTTTTTAAAACAGCTAGAATAATGGGGGTATTGAGAATGTTTTTATTAGTAAGTACTCGATTGGAAAATACTCTGCAACGTTCTCTCAACACAGCATTATTAACTTGTAAGGCAGTTCAACTCACCGTACTCATTGGATTCACTCCTCAATGGACTCAAATGATGCAGGCTACTCAGTGTTATGCTGTAGGAGTGGTGGTGTAAGGGCCTGTCGAGTTGGTAAGAGACGAGCAGTAAGTAGCCTATGTGATAGAGCCGGGATTGGCTCACCTTTAATGACGGTCAGAATTTGGGACGGGTGCACAGCACTGTCAAGCTAAACAAAATAACTCACAATATATGGAGGGAAGCATTATAATGCAGAGATGTGTCATGGCCAAACAACGATATCCTTGGGCGTGAGTTTTCCAAGAGCAGTTATGGAACAGGAATCAAGACAAAAAATAATAATACGGTATACAGAACCAATTACAATCGATGCTAATGATGAACCCATGCTCGAACCCATTGATTAAGCTGTACATCAACCCGTCCTCTGGCCCGTGCTGGAACACATGCTCCTAATCCCAACCGTTACCCTAGCCCTAACCTTGACCATAACTGGGTTTGTGGGTTTGAGGTGTTGTGCTCCTTAGTAATCGATATAACGTTTTGTATGCGGCGATTGAGGAATCACCACTCTATATTGGTTGCTAATTTCCAGGAAATAGTTTTCGTAGACTAGATTTGCCATTTGCATGTGTAGTGTCCTCCTTTTGCTCGGCGTGTAGTGTGCAGCGCACACACTCAGTCAGAGACGAGGTAGTTGCAGGGGGCACCATCTCTCTCTTTATTATCTCTATCTCGTTCACACCACCAACTACGGCCTCCTCTCTCACGACCACGCTGCCATACAACCCGCCCCAGACAAGACTCCGCCCGCTTTGCACCGATGGCATCGACCAAGACAGCCAATTACTGTTTGGCCGCGCAATGATCGGGCAAAGGTGGCAGTGATGAAGGCGGCGACGATAGCGACGAGGAGACGAGTCCACTCCCCGAACCGGCAGCCCGGAGCTCTAGCTCTCCGCTTATATTATACTCAATGCGGCTTGGCTCCTCCCTAGCCGCGCCTCCCTTCTTGAACCCACCAGAGGGTTCCAGGCACCTCCCTACGAGGTCTACCATGACCCTTGCCCCAGTTCCTCCACCCTGCCGGCACACCCGTGTGAATATGCTCAACGGTGTGTGTGCTAACTGTCTACCGCAGTTGCTACTGTTGGACAGCAGTCGGTGCTGTGTCACTACACATGCATGATATACGTCCTTAATTAGTGGTCTCATTCCATCGCGCCACAGCGCCGATGATCACTTGCACACATATAGGGTGCATGATGGAGTAGTGCCATCTCGAAGGTTTAGGTGTTTAGGTATACTTTACAAGTGTCTGCACGCACCACTACCGGCACATTTAGGTTTAGGGCCGCTTCTTAAGGCAATAAATTGACGAGGTAGAGCATGTCCATCACCACTAAACATTATATATTTGTTATTTTACCAAGGCCTACTGACTTGAAAAGCTATTTTTCAGAAGCGAACAGGCCACAAATGACAGCTCATCAAAGTGGCTTACCACGTAGAAATTTAGAGCAAATTATCTAAACACGTGTCGATTCTAAATGTGGAGGGAAAAACTGGAGGACCTGGATAAAAATCCACGCACCTACAAGGAGACCATGCAAACTCCAAATATACAGACATCAGTGTTGGAATCGAACCCACGACCTCCTGTATATCAGGTGAGGCAGTTTACATCTCCCCACCAATCTATCAAGAATCACAGTTAAGAACATCACCCTGATATGGACTACAGGCAGCCCATGAAGTGGAGACTCGAGCCGGAAGTATCAAGAAAGAGTCGATTAGTGCTTTTTTATGAGTTGTGACAACTGACCTGCTGATGGTCTATTCGTGATAACCCTTATGCCGGGGTGCGGTCCAACATCATCTTCAACTCCAAATTTGTAGATGAAATTCAAGGAACTTTGTCCTGAAAGCATGAGCAGAGCATATTTAGAATTGTAGGCCTATTGACATTGATAATATAGCTGTCCCATGCATGGCCACCTTTGTCTCCCCAGTACTGACGTTCACACATCACACCAGATATTAATTTAAAGCTAAAATGTGTGAATGCCCAAGACCAGCTTCTGATAGTAATCACTGCTGATATTAGCCATGGCTGGCAATTGAGCTCAGGTTGCTGGGATATTAACATCGTACTGATCACAGTACCACCCTGCACACACAAGTTGATTTGTAGTGATATATAGATGTATGTGTCAGGAGCACAATGCACTATTTTAACCAGGCAGTTGTATATACAATATAAAGATAACTGGTGCAGGGCCGGATTAAGGTTCTTGTAGGCAATAGGCACTTCTGTTTTGTAGGCCCTTAGTGATAACTTTCTACAATTGGTACTGCCTATGTTACTACCGTCACTGTCACTCAATTATTTCATGCATACTTCTTCCAGGCACTGGACAGATGTCGTTACTGATAAGTGTATTATTTAGTCTGTGCCCTACTTCAATGGAAGCGCACTGTGTGCCGCAGATAAGCAGATTTAAATTGAAATTATTGAATAAAAAAACATGCTAAGCTTAAAAATATTAAAAGGGAAAATGTATTGAACGATGATTACCATATCGGATGACACAACTTAAAAAGGATGCCGTTCATTTTCGTCGATAACATATTCAATGTTTTGACAGGACGACTGCATGGCGAGCGCTATAATTGCTTTACTTTTTGCTTAAAGATCTGACTTGTTATTTTAGGTGTAATATGCCTCACAAAAAGTCAACCACTGCTATGAAATTTCAACCAGCAGCCAACAAATTAAATAGGAAAAAGATTAAAAAAATATGAGTTTCTATTCAAGAATACCAAATTTTGTCAAAATGACTACATTGAAAAACAAGTTCCCATAATCCCCCAGTTTACCTTATATATTATCATTGCAGAAGTGGCTGTTATTTTAGGCTAAATTAGAAAAATAAATTGCACTTAACCCTTAGGTCTATACTTAATATAATTATATGATCAATGAATGTTTTCCTTTCTTAGTAGTCTCTGTCTTGTATTCCTGTTTGGTCAAGCTGTTCAGAGATGTTATTGGCTTCTTGCTTTGTGTATTAAAATAATTCACTCCTGTGTAATTTCTTACAATGAAATGTTGCCAAATTTTCGAGAATTTTGTACATTTTTATATATGCACGAAAGAGGAAGTAATTTGCTGATGGGATTGTTCGAAAAACCCAATTTGAAGATGTTTTTGCTAATTTTGCCATGAAAAAATCTCACCAAGTTAATCTGTGTTGATACAGTAAATCTAGCTGTGACGGTCCCACCTGATGACGGAGACTTGTGTTGCCTCCGAAACGTCGTGATTTATTATTTTATTTCTATTATTACTTTTATTAATTTTAATTTTATTTTTTACCTACGTGACTTTACCGAAAAAACCTAAGAGTATGAATCCTTGCAGTCACGAAAGCTTCAAATCTAGAATTAATCTGTGTTAATTTCTCTCATCTTTTGAAAAAAAAGATTAACATTTACATGACTCTGCCTCTTTGTATATACAATGTGCCTATCCTTGCTATATAAATATATTTATTGAAGATATCTTGGTTACATTTTTTATCAGACAAAAAAAAACGTTACATTTTTTTGAAGGCCCTTTACCTTTCGTAGGCCAGCGGCACAGTGCCTTCTGTGCCAATTGGATAATAGGCCCTGAATTGGTGGCATATAGTTTATGAGTCAGAAGGGTTTAGAGCTGGATTAGTATGTGCATGGATCTGAAGGAGGTAAAACCGGACAGATTTAGATTGGGGTGAGGGGCCAATGGGCATGGCTTATTGGGTGTACAGGTTTCTCTCACTTTATGCGGGTTCGGTGTGCCATTTCGCGTATATGCGGCTAACCTATGTCTAGCCAAAATTCTCTTTACAGTATGTGGTTTAAATTTACTCATGCGTCTATGCAGTCGTACGTGGGACATTGTGTACTGTATGCGCTGCTTCGCAGGTAGCTGTCTCGTGTGTTTTTCTTTGTGCGCCATTTTTCTGGAATGCATCTTCCACTTAATGCAAGGAAAACCTGTATCAGGAGAGTTGTCAAGCTAGGAGGCAGGATGGCTGCTCCTCTCCGACTGGCAACTGTGGGCACGGTTACAGCTTACCAGCAAGACCAACCAGAGCAGCGCTTCAGCAAACAAGGAGACCTTCCATCCCAAGCCATGAGTCTGCCTACTTTTCTCTTGATCGTGGTAAACTCATGTAATATGGCACATAGAGAGAGTGATAGTTGACAGTGGGGTTGTTCATTGTAACAAATCAGACTTGCATACTTCCCATAATTCCACAGCCAGTGGCAGGTCGCATGCTAATTGGTCCCACCATGGAGCTTTTAACTATGGTGGTGAAATAGAGTATGATGCTGTAAAACCTATAGTACTGTGTGCCAAATGAGGTTAACTGTATGGTGAGTTTGGTGTGCAATTCCATGACACTGACTGTCCATATCCATACGTGGTAGTGAGGAGTGTGCAAGTTAACTGATAGGGAGTCTCACAGTGACAAGGGCAGAGGGCCATTGAGGGTGACTGATTATCAGCATTGTCTGAAGCCCAGTGCCATGCTGTAAATGATGTGGCACTGTAGATAATACTGTCAACTTATTACGAGTAAATGAAGTGCAGTATGGCTGTGAGAGCATAGGAACAATATAATGTCCTTGATGTTGTTTGTTGCTGTGTGGTGTGTGACCACTGGCACAGAAGGTTATGTGCAAATACATTAAATGAATTGGTGTCAGGAGCACTGACCCTACTGTTTATAGGTTTGACGTGGTGACATTGCGGTGACATATAAATATTGTTTATTGGCTTTGTCACATTGTTTAGACTCGGTTAAATTTAGACAAGGTGGTATTGTTTTTCATTGCTATTGGGTGTTTTTTTTTACTAATTGTGTGATACATGTAGCATTACATAATAATATCCCTTAGATTATGACGAGAGTGGAAATAAATCACTCAAACCTTTAAAAGTGTCTGCTTCCCAGTTTGTGTCCTCACTGTTGGGCATACTGTCAGTGTCCTACGCCCTAAGCCACGCAGGTGAATCCATATCTAATTCATCCCGGGTGCTCACTCCAAGATGTGAGTTCACCCAAGTACAGGCAGTCCACGCTTTTACGACACAATGTGTTCATAAATCGGACCCTATTTTCCAATTGACAGTATAATCAGTAGAAACATCACTTGCCGGTGTGTTCTTACTTTAATAAGCCATTTTTAATAGGGGTTTAAAGGTCTAAAGCCACAAAAACACTTGAGAATAGCTAAAGCTCTGGGCCAATTAACATCAGAAACCAGTCTCAGTTTTGTTGCCAGAAAAAAAGGGGGAAAAACCTATTATTATATTTTGCTACTGGCAAAGGAGGCCTCATGATGTAAATGTTTACCCCGAGCCCTCATTACTCTGCTAGTGCGTTGTCTTAAGAGTTGTGTGCTTTTTGGCGTCATCTGGTCGAACACCATATAAGACTAGGCTCTAAGGAAAGATGTCTCTGGTGTGGACCAATCAATTTCAAGGACAATGCATACATTATCAGAGCGTGTTTTTGTTTGCATTCTGACCGCAGGTATTGTGGTTAATGCAAACAGGATTCCTTGTTAAAGGTTTCAGTTTTGTTGCCAGAAAAAACCTATTATTACAGATTGACTCTGTTCATATGTGTTCAGAGTCATGTCGGAAGATGCTTTGTAAATCAAGTTTCTGTGTCGTAAATTGGTCCGTGGTGGCATATAAACATCGTAAATGTGGATCGTTAATCGGACCATTGTATTCATGACAATATCATGCACGTACGTGGGTGTATGCAAATATTTCCACGCACAACCACACACGTCATCTAAAAACATTATATATTTTTTTACCGATGATACGTAAACTAGAAAGTCCCGCTGACGTGATTTGAATTTGCCAAATTCCAGTCACTTTTGGCTCCCTCAATTGCATGATGAAGTTGTTTCCAGATATTTGCGTCGATAAAAGGGTAGTATTTCCTGCAACAGCATCATCCCTTGTACCTGATGGAACAAAAATATGAAGACATTCACATGCACCACACAAGGATTGATTAGATTATTGGGGTATGGCACATTTTAAAGAAGATGCAACCCAGGCAAGACAGCTATTCAAAATGGCTTGGGTTGTTTTTCTAACTACCTTTAGGATGTTTGATAAGTTGATTTCATTTTCCTCATTCACTCTAAATGCCAAAGGCATTGATTGATCAGTCTACACTCACTGTTTCACAGTCACTCAATTCTAGCAATTTGTTGTTATATACTTTGTTTAATCGTTATGTATTTATTTTCACTGATTTACACACCTTGCCTTTACTTTGCAACCTATCGGTTTTTGTATTGTTTTTTTTTAACATTCTGACCTGCCTCTACTGGACATATGTGAAAAAGAGCTTCATAGCTCATTGGATTGCTCCAGTCTAAATAAACATTCTGATTCAATTGCAGTTCAGAGGTTTCTCTGTCGCTGCAGATTGACTGTTTATCCTCATCCACATTGCATTCAATCACCATAATGAAGGACTCAACATTTATGCTTCTCCTTCTATCCTCATCCTGCTTGCTCAACTCACATCATATCTTCCCCCATATTCCTATAACCTTCATCAATTCAATGAACATGATAATGTCTATCTCATTAGCACTTTCTTGTTAATCTATTGGCATTATAGGCCTGAGGCCTGTGCCCAGCATACCTACATTGTTTGCCCCAAACTGTCTGGGATGAATTTGCAATCTTGTAAATGAGTTTACTTGTAAGTTACACGGTAGAGCACTCCCATACGTTTTAATACACCAATGAAAGTTTAATCATCAGGAAACTATGACGCCAATGATCATAATGTTTACGGTTTAACTGCATTACCAAACCTTTGAATGTATGTAGGACAGCATGGGATAGCAAGCTTAGGTGTTGTCTACTACAAGAACTGCTTGTTTTTGGGTTGTACCTTCCTTCAAGCCTTTAAGTTAGTGGAGGCAAAAATCATAGGTGTCCTTAGTCTCAAAGATGATATACAACACACACACATATCTCCCCAATGTACAACCACTGTTGAATTTCCTAAAATAATAATTCATCGACAGAGAAGGTTGATGGGCCAAGATAGCCTTCGAATTGAGAGTTAAGTATTCTGCCATGCATGGGATGACAATCGGGATGTACACTTCATAAGTCTATGGGTTAAATATTATTTTCGTACAATTGTATCCTGATTGTTCTATTGGCATCATGTCGTTTGATGAAGTATTGATTCTAATCTCTCTCAAACCAGTTTAACTCTTCATGTTATAAAGAACCGTCCACAGAAGCAGATATTACATAGCTACCTCTGATACTATTTCCAGTAACCACTGTTCTACACAATATGAGGCAGCACTTCCCCACCCTGAGGTTAATATTTATCAGATGACAGTAAACCCGATCTTTGTTTGGGGGGGGGGGGTGTAGTCATGATTGACCAGGCTGTGAACATCACTAGAGAAGCTCGTTTAATCACAGGCGATTGCCTGGATTTGAACGCAGTATTTAAGCAGTGCTCAGACTTCTGAGCCACCTGACCACCTGCAGAGAACATATACTTTTAAAGAAAGAAACGCAAACACAATGCAAACAACTCCTATCTGGTGGTTACACACTTAGACTGTGTGTCCAGGGCTGTCCCACCTTAGAGAAGCATTGCTGGAGAGGGTAAAATAGACTCAAATGTTACAGTAAAGCAATAATATTAGTATGGCACTCCAGTGACATCACTCCCACATAACTCACATATGGTGTAATAGGGTAAAAATCCATCCTCCAATAATGCGTGCATCCTAATATTCGTGACGTTCTGGAAACTCCTGTGATTCACGCGGCATTTTATTTGTGGGTATATATCTATATGGAGACTGGGAGGGGCCGTTCCGGGGTCTTTTTTGCTCAGCTGTTCTTAGGCGTAAGGAAAATATACCTAAATACAGCCCTGCTTTCATATAATTTGATTTTCATTCATTGGGTAAACTTTATTAGGTTAAAAGTGACTGGGTGGTGCATAGCTAAGCCTATGAATGCCTCAGTTCACGAATGCAATGCACTTATATTAAGGAATGCATTTTAAAATAATCAACACCCTGTCCATTTGAAGGGCTGTTTACCAGCTTGTATTATCCAAGGAAACTTATGATGCAAACTACTGCAATCAATTACTACAATAATGTAAGCATTGATGGACGTACCTGATGGATCTGAAATTGTAATGTTGGTCAAAGTGTAGAGGGCCCCAGTATAAAAAATGACAATGTTGCTCGTGGAACTGTCAACTGGAAATCTGAAGACGGTGCTGTTGGTTGTATCAACATCACGGACATTTAAAATGTTAACCTGAAATGGCGAAACAGAAATTAGTTAAGCATTAATTTGGTTATATTGTAGAAACTCAGGTGGAGTGGAGGATCAATTCACTATTAACCCAGCGATACCTAGTTCAATTCCTGGCCATGGCAAACAATGTCGATTCATATTTGAAATGGTCCTGGATTCGCCCCACCCCTTTAGCAGCCTGCAATGACCAGCGTGGTGAAGTATGCTCAAACAACCACATCACCCCACTTCATCCAGCAGTGCATCGGCAATAGAACGTAAATTAGCATTACCACTGTCTTATAAAACTGTAACTTAACATGACAATAGGGTTTTCCCCTTTCTGGCAATAAAACAGGTATTCTTTGGGTCTTTCGGTAAAGTTACGTAGATAGGTTCAAAGAAAATAACAAAAATAACAAAAACACTACGACGTTTTGATCGCAACGCAAGTGGTCATCATCAGGAGGAAAAAAGAAAGGAAAGCTGCTGAGGCAGACTGTTTTGAAGGTTTGAAATGGGTGTAGCCCAAGGGTCATAAACGAAGTGGGTGGGACTATTGATGTTAATGTGAGAGACATTAGCATGTTAATGTAAGATCGGAGGACGACCTCCACGACGAGCACGCAGAGGTGGCTATTTTAACGTGAGAGAAATTAACATGTAATGTAAGATCGCAGAGCCACATCCATGTCGGCGCACGGGGTGGCTGAGAAATTTAACCTGTTAATGTAAAATCAGAGAGCTTCAAATATCAACTAACATTGGAAGGTAGAATGGAAACATCACAACCAGTTATGACTTAAACTGGTTAATAAAGTTATTCCAATGATTGCTCAGTTTGTACCCATCTTCTCGGTTAAAATTGTTTCTGTGTCTATAAATATGGATGGCTTCATGAACTAATCTTTGTGGATAGCCAGTGGGTTTGCAAAGTACCTTCAGCTTGGAGAACTTAATTTCATGTGAGCCCACCGCATTAAAACAATGATCAGCCACGGCCGAGGTGTTGGTCCTACCGTGTTTCAGACCTGCCTAATGGTCACGAACACAGTCCGAGACATGTCGCTTAGATTCCCCAATGTAACTACTGCCGCAGACAAAGCTTAGTTTGTAGACGCCGGGGTATTGCATGTCAGGGATCACATCCTTCACAGATGGGATCAGATCACGAATGTTATGTACTGTGTAAAATCGAACCTGGATCTTTTGTTTGTTCGTGATTTTAGTAATGTTTTTGGTGACCCCTGCTATGTATGGCAAGGTGATGGTTTTCATCGGGTCCTCAGATGGTTCTTTCCCAACGGTTGGGGTGATAGCTTTACGGATTGTGTAGTCTGAATATCCATTCATTTTGAGAGCTTGGTGTACATGTTCCAGTTCACTGACTATGTGTTGATGGTCAGAAATACATCGAGCTCTATGGTGTAGAGTTTTGATGAGGGAATTCTTCTCTTTTTTAATTGAGAACGCTAAAAGCGCTCATCCTTACTGATGTTGATAATAGGTGTCTTTGCGTTTTTGAGGATTGCTGCGATTTTCGATCTTGCCACGTTTGCAGTAATGTGTCCCAGACCCTTAAGGGCTATGTCGACCTGGGAAATGATATCAAGAACTGGGATATGTTTAGGGGTGACTGTGATATTCAACCCTTTGTGTATAACCGAATTTATGCTGTCGGAAATTGGACTGTTACTCTGATTGATAACAATCTTACATATCTAACTTTTTGATGTGTGGCTCTGGCTTATTCTTGGAAAGGAGGATGAACTGGGAAATCAGGTTATCTTTGCATTTAGCTGACATTGAGGCGGCTGAAGACGCTATCATGTTATCTACATGTTCCCAATCAAATATAGACATTTTTTCGTCAACCTTAAGTGTGATTGCAAGATGGTCTTGTCTAAATTGTCTAGTTCAAATCGTAGCAATCTTATTCTCTCTGAAATGAAGGCTAAGCCAGCCCTGAACAAGATCTGTTTAGCATTGGGAGAAGTGACATCAGCAGATGTCAGTGAAAAGGCGATCAGTATTACCTTAGTGGCGCGGCATCTCTTCAGACATGTGAGCGACAGATGAGCCTTCTTGTCTCAAAGTTTGTTAAAATATCTAATAGTTTTGTTGAAACCCTCTCTGTAGAGAAGGATGTGATCCCTGACATGCAATACCCCGGCGTCTCCAAGCTAAGCTGTGTCTGCAGCAGTAGTTACATTGGGGAAACTAAGCGGCATGTCCTGGACCGTGTTCATGAATATAAGGCAGAACTGAAACATGGTAGGACCAACACCTCGGCCGTGGCTGATCATTGTGTAATGTGAGGATATATCCGGGTTGCTGATGGATCACACCTCGTTACGATGATTGCCTCTGCCGGTCCTGCCCTATAGGCAATGGGGAGAAGTCTAGGGGAGTGGCCCTGATGTAATGGGAAGGTGACATCTGTAAGTAGAGGATTGGTTCTGCTGGCTTTAGCCACAGCCAATGGGGGGACGAGTCAGTACGATGGAGTCTAGAAGATTCCATAGAGGTTAACCAGGATTGGTGGAAAGGTACCACGTGACCCGGGTATTAAAAGGGGTGGAGACGAACAACACGTGGTCAGATCTGGAAGGAACGGAGGGTGAGGCCACGCTGGAGTGGGGTCCAGGCTGCCACATGGTCGTGCGTGTCTCTCTCTATCCATCCCGCTCACGCTGTCTGTCAGCAGCGTGAAGGAGTGTTGTAAAAGAAAGACAAATAAAGACCGGATTCCAGAAGTCGCTTCCACGACCTTTATTACAATTGTTTTAATGAGGTAGGCTCACGTGAAATTGATTTCTCCAAGACGAAGGTACTTTGGAAACCCACTGGCTATCAACAAAGATTCGTTCATGAATCCATCCATATTTATAGACAGAAACAATTTCAAACGAGAAGATGGTTGCAAACTTAGCAATCATTGGAAGGACGTTATTAACCAGTTTAAGTCATAACTGGCTGTGATGTTTCCATCCTACCTTCCAATGTTAGTTGATATTTGAGGCTCTCTGATTTTATATTAACAGGTTAAATTTCTCAGCCACCCCGTGCGCCGACGTGGCTGTGGCTCTGCGATCTAACATTACATGCTAATTTCTCTCACATTAACATAGCCACCTCTGCACGCTCGTCGTGGAGGTCGTCCTTCGATCTTCCATTAACATGCTAATTTCTCTCCCCAGTTAGCATGGCCACCTCCGCGTGGTGGTCGTGGTGGTCGTCCTATGATCTTACATGCTAATTTCTCACCTTAACATCAATAGCCCCGCCCACTTCGTTTATGACCCTTGGGCTACACCCATTTCAAACCTTTAAAACAGTCTGCCTCAGCTGCTTTCCTCTTTTTTTTCCTCCTGATGACGACCGCTTGCGTTGCGATCGAAACGTCGTAGTTTTTTGTTATTTTTGTTATTTTCTTTTAAGCTATCTACAGTACGTGACTTCACCAAAAGACCCAACGAATATGAATTCCTGCAGTCACGAAAGCTTTAAGTCAAAATAAAACAGGTTTTAAGATGTTAAAACACCAAACTGAAACCTTTGCTCATTAACCACATATACTTGTGGTGAACATGCAAAAAAACATGTTCTGACAGTATGTGCATTGTCTTTGAAAATTGATTAGTCCACACCAGAGACAGCTTTATTTAGAGCTTAGTCTCAAACAGTGTTAGACCAGAGGACGCCAAAACACGAACAGCACAAAGACAATGCCACTATCAGGGCATTGAGAGCTTGGGGTGAGCAGCTACATCATGAGACCACCTTTGCCAGTATTTAACTTAACATGTTAAGTTCAAAAAGTGCATATAGTCAACAAAAAATTTGTTTTGTATTCATAAACTTAAATGAATGAGAAAGCTAATGGATAATAATTTTGTGAATACCTTCCCTCAGTCCAAATCATAACTGCCGCACAGATAGAGCAAATTCATTAACTTCATGCTCAGATATGAAAGAATGTGGCATCACATAATCATGAGGGGACGACACTGGTGTGGAAATGATTTCACGCATCAATGTTATGAAAATTGATAGCAAATTATGGTAATTATTAACTTATCAACTTGAAATTGACAATACAATGTAAGTACTTGTGTATTTTAATCGGTTAATTTGGTACATGAATCAGTACGTACTACCTACTATTACGTATGGGTCAGAGACACGGTCATTAAAAAAAACATGGGACAAAAAATGACGTGTGCAAAGAAGCCTGGAAATATGCATGCTTATAATTGCATTGAGAGCCAGAAATAAGAACATCTGTATTAGAGAACACATGCAGATTAATAGCATTCAAATTGTAATGAAAAGTAAGTGGGCTTGTATAGGACTAGTCACTTAGCAGGGGTGATGTTCAAGAATGGTGACATAATGGCAGTCAAGGAATGTACCACATCTGAGATGCCATCCACTAAAGAGATGGCCCGATGGAAGTAGTATGTGTGTCGGTACAAGGTGAATCGTTGCATCGTGGGATTGTGAGATGTGGTGCAGGATGGAAACGCCTTCATCCAGCTGTGGATTGATCATTGCTGTGAATGAAGTTGCATCATTTATATTTGTAATTTATCACTGTAATACATGTAGTTACTCACCTGCTGTGTCTTGCTTAGGTCGCCAATTACGACCATCAGAGATTGAAATTCCGAACTCGTGGGATGCAAAGCCAAACCCCCAGAGCTAAATGCGATTTCGTCGTAATAGGAAAGTGCATTTATGCTTCTTCGTTTGCGCTGGAAGTTTCTCTGATTGTCAAAGAAGCGTCTGTAACCTGGAGTTCTCACTACCACAACGTTCACCTGTAAATATTGAGACGATATATAGTTGTTAAAATAAAGTACTCTATGCTGTGTAGATAAAGACATAAAGGCTGAATCAGGATCGCACATGCATGTGGAACACATTCTTGAAATGTAATGGCACTTGCAGAAAACTACATTTATTGTAATTATGGATTTTTTTCCTGTGATTTAGTTTTTGTTTACACTTAATTTAAAGTTTGTATTGCTCTTTGATTTTAATGTTTTGTTATGTTTGCTGAAATTTACACCAATTGTGCTGTTTGTGACATTACTTATTCAGATATCTTAGACACCTAGAAAAGTGTCAGACTATTTCACAGGAGCAGTTACCTCTTAGAATCCCCCAGATGACCTGGTTCACACAAGACAGAACAGCACATTCCCACTTGCTGTGCTATATGAGAATGTTTATGGCATGCCAATCAGATGTCCTATCTAGATGAAATACTGTTAAAACCTTCATGATGTCAAAATTTGTATGCATAGATTTAAAAACAAAATACTACGTTTGAAGCACCCAAATAAGCAAATTGTGGATTTTTTACATTTCTAATGATATGCGTGGTCTGGACTACAGTTGAGTAAATATCAACTTTCGAGACCTTCTAGATTCTAGAACATAATTCGAATTTATAGCAGTCACTTACTTAGTCACAATTGTATATGTTTTATATGAAGCAAGTCCAGTGCAGTGAAGGTTCTTACTTTACATTTCTTTTTCTCTGCAATTGCAGCTGCTTGTGGCTGCAGATCCGCATCTTTTGCAGATGCATCCGTGAAGATGAATATCTCTGACTGTGGCTCAATGGCGCTCAGGCATAGCTTAATAAAACACAACGCCAAGGCATTACATATACTATACTGTATTACAAATGTTCTCAACCTCTACACATTTTTTGAGGATGTTTGACAAATTTACATTATCAAACTTCAGGCACAAATCAAGGCATAGTCGTCTATGTTGAAACTCCTTTAAATTTTTTATTAAATCCTTATTTTACTATTGATATGAATTCAGGGGATGAAGCAACCATTCCGATCGTGCGCAGAGCAGTGCATGCCTTCATATTCGAAAATGTCTTACGGAAGTGGTCTCCTCATAAAGGGACACCTGGTCCACACTAGAGGGCAACACTTTGTCATTCACCCTGTATATTCATGAAGCTTGAATTTTGTCAAATTAAGTGCAGAAACAAGTTAAATTTAACGAGGTTTTTTTGAATCCTTGTTTAATTAGATGAGACCAACAACAGTCTACACTTGAGAATTTAGAGTAATCACAGACTGTTGCCCTGATTGGGACCCAGGGTCTCAGTGGTGCCAGCTTGGTCCTCTTGCTCAACGTCTGAGCCAACCAACCACCTCGGAAGCGACACCATGAAGCACTACACATTTTGGCAGTTTTGGGACATTGTTAACCTGCAACGCATTTACTATATAAGCCACTATGGTAACTTGTTATAAAATGGAAGAGTGGTGTCTATCCAATAAAAAAGCTTGTTAGAAAGTGAACAATGATTGGTTTACATCGCACACAGCCCTGTAGTCATGTGACCCCTGTGTGTGATCTGATTAGAAGTTGCTATCCCAGTTGCCCATGTAAGGCAGCAGTGTTTGGATTTGTCCAGATATGGGCATCTAGAATTTGTTTTTACAATAGAACATTGTGCAGAAACTGTTGTCAGTGACAATTACCATGAAATTACAGTGGCCTATAAAAGCAACAAAACACCTGCAACCTTGGTGAAAAAGCCCAGAAGTGACACCACAAAGTCTAGTTCACCTCCTCCCTCAATGTTGAAATAGTGAAAAATACAGTGCTGTCACTATCAATCCCAATTGGTGTTGGGACCCATGGGGAAAGTTAATGGACATTTTAAGTTAGGCAGCATGATTATGCGTGGGATGGAGACAAATAAATTAGGGTTAGGGAAAGGGTTAATCTGATTAAAGTTACAAGTTGGCAGCAGCACTAGTTTCATTGTTGGGGTGGGGCAAGTGGATGACAGAGGCATCTGTGGAAATGGAAATTTTGCACTCCACTACAACTTCTCCCTAAGCAACCGCCTATGTTGCATAAAATATTTGATATTTACCATTAAACCAGAAAAAAACATCTCTGGCTCATCTCCTCCATCGTTGGGATTTATTTCTGAAATCCAGCTTTTGATCTGGCTTACATTTTTAGAGACATAAACTGGACCGAAATCTAAAAGCAAATAAAAACATGTTAAAAAGACACAAAGTGATGAATTACAACGCACAAACAAAACATTTTCATTTAACTTTACAGACTGGAGGGACAGGTGCTGTTAGCAGTCAACTATTAGAGTTGACCAGTCAAACCTTGTAGAGGAATCACATTGTTTGGGTTGCCAGGATCACAATGCATTGCGTTAACTGCTATTCCACATATTTAGTGGGCAGTCGAACGACAACTCAAATGTTCAGGTACTCATATCGAAATTTCAGGCAGTCTGCATGGAACTTTCAGGTATAGTGCCAATGATGTTGTAGGCCATGAATCAGAGTCGTTGAGCTGTCCCAGAGCATTTTGAAGCATTTCAAATGATTTTCCTGAATTGTATAGAGTGTAAGCTAGAGTTTTAATGAATGACAGGGATGTTTCAGAGTTTTATTTGTAAACGCAATTGTTAAATGTTCTGCTATGCTCCGTGATCTTAATGTGGAATAACTCAGATTACATCCCTACATACTGCTGGCTAAACAGAGGCCAGGGGATTTAAGACGCCTGCCGCATCAAGAAATTGAAGAAGCCACCCCTTAATGTTAAAGTCTAGTGTGCTACCCATTACACAATGGAAGCATCAATAGTCAAGTCCCCGAACAAAATTGAGGTTCCCTTAATGAACTGATTTTTTGGCTCGTTCAATATTATTAGACTGGTGAGATGTTCATGCAGTAAATAGTGTGAGGTGTTACTGTTGGCGCTGAGCTGACGAACTGAAAATGTTTGACACATTTTTATCCATTTTCCATTTTTCACAATAAATACAGGAGCATTCCAGTTACATTTACCTGAAGACAATGAGCGAAAATATACATATATTTTAAAGTATAATTAAATACTAATGTAATTTCATGCTTACCCGGGTCATTAAAAGGTACAAGCATAAACATGGCAGGCAGCTCCCCGTTTTTGGCACGTTCATCAATGATCCTAAAGACTTCCATGCGAACACCATCAATGTAGGGCCCCATGCTGCCAGTGCTGTCAATTACAAACCCTATTGATGTTGTTTGCTCATATCCCATATACCTATAAAACAAGAAACAAACAGCAATTATATACAATTTGTGGGTGTGCTGACTGGTACCAGCGGTGTAAATATCAGCTTTTGTGGAGGTGGCTCATGAAGGACACTACTGCACATTTAGAGGAAGTTGCCCTCCAACAACAGCAGAGGGTGTAGAAGCGACGCTCACAATAACGAGCGGAACGCTGGGCGGCTAAAACACAAGTTGACACAGTGGGGAGCACAGTTGGTACATCTGTCAGTCGTCTCAGTCAACACGTGGATCTGTCCCGTGACCTGCCAGCGAGCCTTCAACACTTAATGTGGCCTCAGAGTGTACCTAGCATGGCACAAGCACCGTGGTGATGTGACCACCACTTCGTGGCACACGGCAGATGATGTTTGTTGCTTTAGATATAAACATGGTACTTGTCACCCACCCCTTCGTGTCATTCCAGCTCGATAACAGTACTTACCCCAGGACTCTAAAGACGCGAAACAAGGGGTGGGGGTCTTTGTGTTCATATAAACGATTAATTCAGTTGTGAAGACCTGCTGCATGTAGAGAGTGGATAGAGTATTGTATATCAAGGAAATCCTCAATGAGTCTTAAGACTATTCAAATAGAATCCTGCATGGGGGTGTATGGCTGATACCATTAACGAGTATTTGGCTTAATGTGGGAGAAAACGGGTTTACCCAGAGATAATGCACATCGATGTATTAGTAGGTGGTGCTCAACATTACCATCTCATTGGCAGCTCACAACCCCCAAAAAATCGAAAACACCTCTCAAACCCTGACGGCCACCCATCCAAATTACAACGACAATTAACCCCCATTAGCTTATGAGATCTGATGAGATTAATGGTATTTAGTGCAATCTTGATTTTAAGCTTTCGTGACTGCAGGAATCCATACTCTTTGGTTCTTTCGGTAAAGTCACGTAGGTAGAAAATGTATAGATCACGACGTTTCGATCGCAATATAAGCAACCGTCATCAGGTGAAACAAACACAGCAGTAGAACTGCTTATGTAGGAGAAAGAGCTGCTGCAACAAGCGTTTACAGAGGATTTTGGTGGGCCCAACCCAAAGGTAAGTGGGCGGAGCTAGAAAAGGAATTTGTATGTAATGTAAATGTGAGAGATTATCATGTCAATGTGAGATGGCTCAGCCACCAGAGGTGTGCCAATGAGAAGATTATCATGTCAATTTCAGAGAGCCGAGCAACATAACCAAAAACCCTAAGAAATAACAGCTGATATAGGCAGGTAGGATATAAACATCACAGTCAGTTAAGACTTGGTTAATGACGTCCTTCCAATGATTGCTCAGTTTGTACCCATCTTCTCAGTCGAAGTTGTATCTGTGTTTATATATCTGGATAGCTTCATGAACAAATCTCTGATGATAGTCGATGGGTTTGCAGAGTACCTTCGTCTTGGAAAAATAAATTTCGTGTGAGCCCACAGCGTTAAAACAATGATCAGCAACGGCAGAGGTATTGGTCCTACCGTGTTTCAGATCGGCCTTGTGTTCGCAAACATGTCGTTTCGTTTGCCAAATGTAACTGCTGCCGCAACCACAACTTAGTTTGTAGACACCAGAGTATTGCATGTCAGCAATCACATCCTTTACAGATGGGATAAAATCACGGATTTTGTGTACTGTGTTGAAACCAACCTGTATCTTGTGTTTGTTTAAGATTTTGGTAAAAAAATTGGTAACCCCTGCTATGTATGGCAAAGTGTGGTTTTGATTGGATCCTCAGATGGCTGTCTCCCTATGGCTGGGGAGACAGCTTTGCGGATTGTACGGTCAGAATATACATTCATCCTGAGGGCTTGGTGTACGTGCTCCAGCCTCAATGGCTAGGTGGTGCTGGTTTTGAGATGCAATGGACCCTATGGTGGAGTGTTTTGATGAGGGATGAATGTTTTCATGGATAAATTTGAGACAGATGCCATCCACCCTACGTCCTTCCTTGTTGGTAGATATACGTAGATGACACGTTCGTCATCTGGCGACATGGACAGCCAGCACTAATCCAATTCTTCAACCACATCAATTCCATACACCCAGCCATCAAATTCACCATGGAAGTGTAAAAGGATGGCAATTTACCATTCCTATATGTTTTGATCAAGAAGAGACCTGATGGCGCGTTGGGACATTCTGCCTATGAAAAAGGCACCCATACGGATGCCGATCTAAAGCCTGACTCCCACCACCATCCAGCCCGGAAGAATACCCTCATCAAAACACTACACCATAGGGCCCGTTGCATCTCCGACCAGCACCACCTAGCCAGTGAGCTGGCGCACGTATACCAAGCCCTCAGGATGAATGGATATTCTGACCGTACAATCCGCAAAGCTGTCTCCCCAGCCATGGGGAGACAACCATCTGAGGATCAAATCCAAACCATCACTTTGCCATACATAGCAGGGGTTACCAAAATATTTCCATAATCTTAAACAAACTCAAGATCCAGGTTCGTTTCAACACAGTACACAAAATCCGTGATTTGATCCCATCTGTAAAGGATTTGATTCCTGACATTCAATGCCCTGGTGTCTACAAACTAAGTTGTGGCTGTGGCAGCAGTTACACTGGGGAAACGAAACGACATGTCTCGGACTGTGTTCGTGAACACAAGGCAGATCTGAAACACGGTAGGACCAATCTTGATTTGAAGCTTTCGTGACTGCAGGAATCCATACTTTTTGGTTCTTTCGGTAAAGTCACGGAGGTAGAAAAAATAATAGATCTACGTGATTTTAGCGAAAGAACCAAAGAGTAAGGTAGGACCAATACCTCTGCCTTTGCTGATCATTGTTTTAATGCTGTGGACTCACACGAAATTTATTTTTCCAAGACTAAGGTACTCTGCAAACCGACTGGCTATCACCAGAGATTTGTTCAGGAATCCATCCTGATATATAAACACAGACACAACTTCAAGCAAGAAGTTGGGTACAAACTGAGCAATCATTCGAAGGACGTTATTAACCAAGTAAAATCTTAACTGACTGTGAGGTTTCCATCCTACCTGCCTATGTCAACTGTTATTTTGGGTTTTGTTTTGTTCCTGTTGCCCGGCTCTCTGACATTGACATGCTAATCTTCTCATTGGCACACCTCCGGTGGCTGGGCCGTCTCACATTGATATGCTAATTTCTCACATGTACGTACAAATTCCTTCTCTAGCTCTGCCCACTTACCCTTGGGTTGGGCCCACCAAAATCCAATATAAACTCTTTTTGCAGCATCTCTTTCTCCTATGTCAGCAGTTCTTCTGCTGTGTTTTTTCACCTGATGACGGTTGCTTGTGTTGCGATCGAAACGTCGTGATCTATTAATTTTTTATCTACGTGACTTTACCGAAAGAACCAAAGAGTAGGTATTTAGTGTAAGTTGGTCTTCAGCAAATTACAGGAATTTCTCCACCAGAACAAATCTATCCCCGTTTGGGGATTATAATAACTCAGATAAAAGCACAATGCCACCATCTCTACCAGTCACTCCCCCTCGTCCGAGCATCCATTCGTTTATTTTTAGTGCATCTTACAGAAATGCATATGTGTGGAGGCACACACAGATGGGTTTGCTGATCTTTTTTCTTACATAATGTCGCTTTACCAACCGTGGTGAAGTACGTTCGAACAAGTCACACGACTGTTGCGGTGTGGAGATGTCTTCATCCTGTAATGTATTGACAAGGCCTTCTAATGATAATATTTCTAAGGATATCGTAATTACCTGCCAAAAACAAGGTCATTATCCACTTCACCCCTGAGGTCTCTGAAGAAGTTGATAGTGGCTTTTGTTGCTACATCGACCGCCTTTCCATGCAGATAGTAGTGTGGTGAGAATAGTTCAAGGGAACCGTCCTTGTTAATGCCCCCTTTAGCATTGTTCAATCTTGTGAAATCAAGTAGCCCTCCATGGCTGCACTTCCCTGAAAGAAATGAGCATCTGTTTGTAATGTTCTGCACATGTTAAATAAAACTTTATTTCAATAATTTAGAATATTTATTCATATTGGAGGAATCTGATGAGCTTTAAATCTATTTTTCACAGATATCCAGTTGGCACAGGTCAGAACGTTACAACCAACAATCAAAAAACACGATAGGAGTACAAGCTACAGGAAATATAAGCACAATAACACATGGTTCTCATGTAGAGTGAACTGTTGGTCTCAGCACAATCAACAATGACTGCATCAAAAAATTACTGCAATCAAAGATTTGTCCATGAAGCCATCCAGATATATAAACACAGAAACAATTTCAACCGAGAAGATGGGTATAAGCTCAGCAATGATTGGAAGGACGTTATTAGCCAGGTAAAGTCATAACTCGCTGTGATGCTTCCATCCTTCCTGCCGTTTGGCTGTTATCTCCGACTCTCTGAATTGCATTTCCCTGTGAAATGTCTTTGCATTAATGGGCTGGGGTCTCACGAACATGGCCACCTATGTTCCCTTAGCCTCGATGTATCGATGGTTCATACTGTTTTATGGGCTGTGTGTCTCACTGGCATGGCCACTGTTGCAGTGGTTCTCTTGCGTTGACGCGCTTGCCTCGTAGAGGCCGCTCTCCGATCTTACATTTACATGCTAATTTCTCACATTAACATCAGTAGCCCCGCCCACTTCGTTTATGACCCTTGGGCGACACCCATTTTAAACCGTTTAAAACAGTCTGCCTCAGCAGCTGTCCCCCTCTTTTTAAATCCTTTATTAAGTTCACTTGCTTGCTTGCGCGCTTACGACCATGCAAATCTTTCGGTCGTTTTTTAACCCATTCCCCGTGATCCAATCGAGCTGACATTTTTCACACAGACTCGTTGTGCGTGACAATTTATTTTCGTGAATTTTTTTTCCACTTTTTAGGAAATTTTTTTTACATTCTTTATATTAAGTTCACTTTCTTGCTTGCGCGCTTACCACCATGCAAATATTTCGGTCGTTTTTAACCCACTTCCCGTGATCCAATCGAGCTGACATTTTGCACACAGACTCGTTGTGCGTGACAATTTATTTTTGTGAAAAAAATTTCCAAAATTTTCCACTGTTT